AGATTATTTCAGTTGTCCAACAATCCAGCTTTCCTCAGTTGCACTCACGACAACGACTTCCATGCACTCCAGTGCGATAGGGTAAACTAATTGTTCTTCAATGCGAGAGGGTAAACTAATAGCTCTCCAATGCGAGAGGGTAAACTAATTGCTCTCCAGTGCGAAAGGGTAAACTAATTGTTTTCCAGTGCGAGAGGGTAAACTAATAGTTCTCTAGTGCGAGAGGGTAAACTAATTGCTTTCCAGTACGAAAAGGTAAACTAGTTCCCTGACACCTATCTAGGTAAGCTCTCAAGTGCGAGAAGACTACATAGCTTAAAAGATTGAATGCTTGAAGACTAATTAGGCAACGAATGACAGGAGGCAGCAACCACTTTGCACTCAACAGTTCACTCATTCGTCACTTCATCTTCAGCAGCTTCGATCTTAGCAACTAAATCCTTAACTGCTCTATCTATGGCAGCTGAGAAATCAAATTCAAACAGTTTCCTCATTTTCAGCAAGCAACCCAGACGACCCAGTCATTAGCTTCAGTCAGGCCGAGCAACACAAGTACATGGCCCCTGCCACACCTCTTTCTTGGCCCATGTTAAGCCGACTCCTGGCCCTGCCAGCCGACGTACCTAGGCCTGGGTTTGGTTCAAAACGGTTCAGTTCATTTTTTTTTTTAGTTCGGTTTTGGTTTTTTTTTCTTTCAAAAAATGAAAATTGAAATTTTAACATCTCCAACACAATCACACTTTAAGTCTTCCACTCCTAAAATAAACAAAACATTAAACAGTTGAGAAACTTGTTCTTGTATAAGAGTTGTATATCTTTTTTAAGAATGCTTACAGACCAGGACCTTAATCTGGCACCTTAGACATTCCTGTAAAAGAGTTTTCTTGTTTAACTTGTGAGACAAACCTTATTCCCTTCTCTTGTGCACGAATTTATTCTTGCCTCATAAATTTACATTGCAGTAGCAAAGGTGCTTATACATTCATGCACATGTTAATTGTAATGGTGTTGAAGCCTTAAGTTAAACAAATAAGATTGATGCTTTCTGAAATAGGAACTAGGAACTTGGTAAGGATCAGGGTTACCTTTCAGAATACAGAGTAAGGGAAGAGTAAGGGTTACCTTTCAAACTGAAAGGAGAACGACACCGTTTTACTAATAAAAATATTAATTTATAATTAATTATAAAACTTTGGTTCGGTTTCTGAACCCTAGAAACCAAACCGAACCAACCTAGATTCAGTTCGGTTTGGTTTAACAGTTTCAATTCGATTTTTTTAGGTTCATTTTTTTTGGCTTCGGTTCGATTTGGTTTTCGATTTTTTGAACCCACCCCTAGACGTACCACACCACTCTGACGGCTGCTCTGTGGCATCACCACCCAAGAAGAAGACAAGCAAAATTAAGTTTTTCTTACATCGGTACGGTGCAGAGAAGACAAAGAAATCAACGGAAGACGGTTCTTTGCACGGGCAAACAAAGAAGAGTGCTAGGGGAGGGGGAACAAATATCCTCTAGCTTTCTCTCTTTCTTGTAGGGATAAATAATTACCCTCCAAAGTTGATTTAATCCCCTACTTAAGGTAGGCTTAAATAGGCTTTGGAGGCGATTTATTGCCCTTTCCTAAAAGAATCTAATTCCAAGTCCAAGTGACAATCTGCATCAAAGTTGGAGATCTTTACACCTGCTGCCCTTTCCTGTGAGTATCCCAGCAGGTGTGGGGGCATTTGTGGAGCCAAAATAATCAAGAGGCGACGCGTGGATTTTTGGGTAAAAATAACAAAATTATCCTTGAGGTATACCGGAATTCCTACACGCGAGCAGTGGACAATCCTCCCTCAATCAAGTCAAAAGTGCCCAAATAGGTATTTATTTTTAAACATATTGCATCCATCCTCATCAAATCTTCTCCACAAGGTAACCCCTAAATTAATTGGTAAATTATTCAATTAATTAATTAGCTAATTAAACGCAAATCATGAACCTAGCCCACAAATTCATCCAAGTGGCCGGTTCTCCCTCTCCCAAGGGGGTCGGCCACACCCCTATAAAAACCCCATCACTCTCTCCAAAACTCAATTCCAATTCTCTTGCTAAATTCTCAAAATTCTCCAAACACTTTTCTCTCAAAATTCTAACTTTAGCATCAGAGATTCTTCAACCAAACCCCCCCCATTCATCGTGGGCGCATGAGGCTCTTGGCCTTGACCTAAGGTGTTATTTGTTTTGTAGGTGCAATTTTGTCCAAGAATAAGGAGGAAGAAATTTGCATCCACAACGGTAATGCTTGATAAAAAGTCTCATCTCTCCTCTATGTGAAACCATGGGAATTTGTCATCTTCACAAAGAAATCATGCACGAAGGTCGGCTTCCAGCGACAGAGCTCGGAATTTACAACAATGGGGTCATAAACAAGAAGCTTCCAAAAATTAATCATACTTTCATTTCATTTATTGTCTATGACATGTTCTCATATTTTAAAAACACCATACCACAACATCATTACCAATACAATTAAATATATTTCTCATTGTATATAACTAAATTATCATTTGACCATTAATTTTTATAGGATGTTCTTCCACATATTGATAACTGGAAAAGCTCTCCCTGCTTTGAAAAAGTAACAGTTTTGGTATGTTTCAATTATAAACTTATTATTTTGTTTGCCTTAACTATTACAAAGGTCATATAAAAATTTAAAAGGGAGATATTTGAAATTGTTGGGGTCAATTGCATCCAATGTCTCCTTGTTGGTTCCGCCAATGTTGGCATCAAGTTGATTAAAACCCTTGACTTCTGCAGTTAACTTGCTTACTAAATGCTTGCACTAAAGAAAATGAGCTTTATCGGCTGGTGCACAAGAGTGCACTTCCGTTTTCCCTTTACTAGTAAGGGGTCTTGTGGTTCCAATGCCGCCACGTTTTATGGTCCTTTTCTTTTAGTGCTTTGACCCCAAATAATAGCTTCGAGCTAGTTCAGTGGATAAAATGGCTGGATTTTGACACACATATATATATATATATATATGTGTGTGTGTGTGTGTTCGTTTAATTGTTACACATAGGTCAACAACTAGTCACTTTCATTTAAATGTAGTTAAAGGAACAACTAGTCACTTTGATAGTGTAATAATCTACGAGATTTGAACCATGATTCGTCTGTAATGCCATCGCATCCATGCATAGGCCCTACATTTGACAAAATGTAATAATCTAGGACGTAATCGCTAACGTTATTACAGTTTTATAACAACGTCGACTTTTTGTAACCTCACCATTATCCTTGAATCATGGTGCCCCGGCCCAGGCCTAATGCCACCAGGGCAACTGTCAATGGCCCAAAAATGAAAAAGGCACCAAAAAAAAAAAAAACCAAGTAAATAGGTATAAAAGTAAAAAATAATGACCAGAGCCCTAATAGGGGCTAGAGGGCAAAGCCTAAGTTTGACAAAAGATGAAAAAAGGGCCCAGGTTTTGGGCATTACAAAAAAAAAAATATCATAACAGGGACCACTCGGTCCCATTAACCCTAACTTTCAACAAATACATTCACCCTTCCCTGATTCCCCACCCCACTTCCCCCCACTGTCCTGCCATCCCAGTCCTACCCTGACTCCCTTTTCTTCTCTCTCAATACTCAATTCCTTAACGGAAGAAAATATTTCAGTCAATGGAAGGGAAGATGATGGAGGTCAAAATCCATGGATTGGCTGGAATATGATTCTTTCAACTGTTTTCGTAATGGAAGAACCTGAAAGGAATCTTGGAATGCATCAGAAAGAGAGAAGCATATGTGATATAAAGGTAAAATAATTGTACCTTCTATATAAACAAAAAGAAGCTTCAAATGTTGCAAGTGAGAAAGAAGTCCTAGAGATCCAAGTAAATCATATAGTTTAATTTGGGCTGAATAATGGCCGATTATGATCACAACTATAGATCTGGTTACTCTAATGGCACAGGAGGAGGACCGCACACCAATAAATGGAACAAGACAAGCTATGCAAATGATGAGTGCCGCACAATCATCGTTGGTGCCGATGGAACACGAAGACAAGCCATATTAGCCACTATGACTCAAGATAGGCTAAATGGATTAGTAATCTTATGCATTGAAAATGATGAGATTGAAGACTTGGAGTATGATGATATAATTGATGATTTTGCTTCAAAAAATGTCAGAAGACAATTTCTTAAAGGTTGAAATTTCAAGGAGCTTTGCTAGGAACGGTTGTATATGATTGTATTTTTTATTGTCGGGGTTTAGATACTATGTCCCCCCATTGTATACTTTCTCAAGTAATATAATTTGGGCGTGAGGGCCTAGCCCCCTAGCTTCTACTGTGTTCCAGCCTTCGTAAAATATTTTTTTACATATGTTTCTGTATTAAAAAAGGGCACATTTTGAGTTTTCGCACTGGGCACCCAAAAACTCAGGCCCGGTTCATGGAAAGTAAGATTTCTTGTAATTTAGACATTGAAACTTAATATGAAAGCTGCTTTGCTATTACGTAACAACATAATTAATATCATAACAATATTATTCTATCATTTCACCATCATTATGCCTACGTTGATAGTGTAGTAATCCACGGCGCAAGAACTAATGTTGTTACAATAATATAACAATGTCGACATTATGTAACCACACCGTCATCCTTGAACCTTGGAAAGTAAAGTTTGATGAGTATGATATAACTTTATGTTTCTTGTAATTTAAACGTTGAAACTTAATGTCACGTTGTAACAATCTTAACATGAAGGTTGCACATTATTATGTAACAATGAGTATCGTGTAATGTAATACAAAATATTATTTCATAATTTTACTATTATTATGTAACGTGACATTGGACAATAAACCAATAATTATAATGTAATCTTACATTTTTTGTAATTAAGACTTAACATCATGTTAAAATTAACATGGCGCCTTACGAATACATGTCCTATAATGGTGTAAGTAAACAATAAGATTGATATTTGACAAAAAAAAAAAAAAACAATAAGATTGATAAATTAAGGACCAAGATATAATTTAATAAATACATCAATACACGTGTACCAAGTAACTGCATGTGTGACTAAACCGAGTGTTTTGTAGAACATATATATGATCACTAATTAAGCATATGAGGTGTACAGTGCTCTTGAATTTAAAGAGAATTAAAGAAACTGGGCTAATACATTTTTCACCACATAATCAGAGATTATATGGTTTGCTTTCTCAGTTGGATGAAAGGAATCCCAGAATATGTATTTGCTTGCATCCGTACAGGTGAACGGGTTGTTTCGATTGCATGCGTAGCCCATTTCAAACATCCCAGTAGCACAGCAAGCCACCGCAGCCACCTCGAATCCTGTCAATCGCGAAGAATATTTAATAACCAAAGATGGTCATTCATTCTTTTAGACAAATTATAATATATTATATTTACAATTATTTATACGTGTCGAATTGTTAAATAAAAGTACATAAAAATTAACTATCACATGATGTCCGCCACCCAAAGAATATAATTAATGTGACAACTTAAATGCTAAAGTGAGAAAAATGGGGCTCTAAAGTTTTGGTCTAGTGGTTGGGTGAAATTCATATTATTGATGTTTCCCGTAAGCACAGCACACTTCATAAGTCACTAGTCACTTACCATACGAAGAAGGCCTTCTTATAATCTGCATGAAAATATCGTATGGGTTTGAAAAAACCAATTTGATCCCAGTAAGCTCTTTATTGAGGCTTGTAGTCAAGGTCTTCAACTTGCCATTGAACTCCAAGGCCACATTGTTGTAACTTGAAATGCAGTCATTTCCACCCATCATATTGGTGGTTCTCTCCAATGGCAAGCACCCCATCGGAGGTAGGCCTCCTAAGGATATTTTCCGAGCTCCGAGACCGTAGAGTTGTTTGATGAAATTTCCTGCAATTCCAATGAGAAAATCTTGGTATAGTTCGATAGAGTATTGATTCGACCGGCCGGGGTATGAGTAGTAGTTTTCAAGGAAATCATTGGTTCCTAAGCTTGTCATGTGCAAAGCTTCATGGATTGTTTGCTTTGCTTTGTTTCCTCCTAGATGAAGTCTCAGTTTGCTCTGGTATTCCTTGTAGTACTGCACTTGCTTCCATAGTGGTATCACAGACTGCGAACAGGGGTAGGAGGTGCAAAACCATTATCATGTTGAATTACAAGGCCTACAATGATGAATTCAGATTTTGAAATAATTTTTTGGGGGTTTTGAACTTCAATCCTTGAAGAAGATTAAAATTCAATAAAAACCTGGTGTTCGATTGGATATTGATTTTAGTTGTACTTAATTCAAACTTATATTATATTTTTGTTTTAATATTTAATAGATATCTTATTAATGTCATTACATTAAAATTAAAATTATTTCTTATTATACACATTTTAATTCATTATATTTATTTTACTTCCTCTAGTTAGAGTACATAAACGTCCGTATCATAATAAATTTTACTAAATTAGTGTACCGGAATATCCGTACCTGAATATATTGTAGTGAATTAGTGGAATAAAAAGATATGCAAGAACATAAGTGTACCAAAAAATTCCGTACCTAAATATATGCTACTAAACTAATGTACCGAAATGTCGGTACCTAAATATATTATAATAAACTAGTGTACTGAAATGTTCGTATCTAAACATATTATACTAACCTAGTATACCGAAATGTTTGTATCTAAATATATTGTAATGAATTAGTGGCACATAAGAAAATATGCAAAAACATGTGTACAAGAAAATCTTTACGAAAATATTTTCTTATATAAGATACTTATTATAATGAGAATTAAAATTTATAATATTTTCATAAAATTTAATTTATGAACACCATAAAATTATAAATAAAAAAGAGAAACATCTAATATGCTGACATTAAATAGAGTATAGAGACTAAAATTAATTTTTAATCTTGTATAAGACATTTTTCTAAATTTCATCTTATTTAATGATTAAAATCTAGTTTGAACATCATATATATTTTGCCTCGTTCGTAGTCTGTTGATGGCCATTGATTGACTGGTATCGGGTACCATTAATTTTTTGTTGCTATTAATTACCAAATAAATAGAGTATTGACAAAAAATATATTGACTAATACCGATAATGTAATAACATATTGTAGATTGACACTCAATACCAAACAATCTTTTACAAGTAGACATAACTTTAATTTTGTACCAGACAATCAATAGAAGAGATTTTTTGATGTCACCAGTTGTATACAACCATGTGTTTATCTCTGTTGTCAGTAACCAATCACATATATGACTAGTAATGTGACGAGAGTAATAGACACATTATGGTAGCCATTGGTGATATAGGACAAATTTTCCAGAAAATATTCTCTAGATGTTTAGAGGATGAACAAATAAATAACTATACGAGGAATCTTTATACTAAATATATGGCACGTACTAGCACATCTGAAGTTGCTGTGTCGTAGCCAGTGCCAGCAGAAGCAAAGGTGACTCCAGTTGCAAAATCTGATATGTTATAAGTAGGATCCAAGTAGGCAGGTACGAATGGTTTGAGTCCAAAAGCTTCGGAGATGAAGTCCGTGGGAACTCTGCCATTAGAGAATCTCCCAGTAGGCTTGCCACCGGCAAAGTCACGGCCATAAGGCGGAAAGTTGCTCCTGGCAATTGTGGGAATCTGGTTGTTGTTCCCAGCATCGACCGATGAGTCTCCGAACACAATGATTGCTGGAACTTTGGCACCAATTCTGGTGACCAGAAGTAGGCATTGAATTAGAAGAAGCCATGAAATGTGCATGTATGCCATGATCAGCTGCTTTGCCTATTAAGAATTACATGGAATGAGGAGGGGAGCTTCTCGTGTATAAATAACCTTGTTTGGAACATAAATACAAGTTCGAAATTATAGGCGTCGGAGTGGAGAAGTGGTTGGAAGTTTAAATTTGTCGCTAGTACTACACTCTGATTGGTCTGCAAGGAGATATCTAATTTTCTAGAATGGAAAAAAAAAACAAAATCTTTGTTTTACAAGAGCTATGGATGTACCATTAATTGAACCACTGAACGCACTGTCCTATATAATCTAAAATACAAATTGTCAAATTGCTTCTAGAATATATTTAAAGCAATATATATTTCTGCAGGGTGCTGAGACAATCAATTAATTCAAACAGGGTAGAAAAGGCAGGTGGCTACCTATATTTTCTATTATATTTGTTGTAGACGACCAAGCTTCTAGTACAATGTATGTTTAGACGGATGTTAATTTGATAACCATATCGGTTTTAGTTTTTAACTTTCATCTTTGGTGCTAGAGATATAGAGAGAAAGGATGGATGAAGAATGTTGGTGGGAGGGGAGGTGAAGAAATAAAGATGAGTGAATGAAATCAAATTCCTGAAATTGAAAACAACTTAAAACAGATATTGTTTTCAAGTTTGGGAGCTAATAATTGTGCATAATTAGATTTTCAAACTGCCAATAATAATTTCCTTAAGTTTTCATTTTGTGTACCTTTCCTCCTACATTCCTTCCTCAACTCTTATTCGTCTCTCATTTCTCCCATATTTCAAACACAAAATGTAAAAGCTAAAAATTATAAATAAAAATATTTTAGTTTGATGATGTTCGAGTCCAAAAAGAATATTTCTCAAGATTTTCCCCTTATTAACTTTCTCAGGTGAGTGAAAAAGTTCAAGGAGAGGGGAAACTACTCTATATCCCAGGGCAAATCGTATCACAAATCTCTTTGAGAGCTTACACAGGGGTTTTAGTCTCTTTTTCAATTTTTATAGATCGCCCACAAAAAGAATCACTGACAACAAAATTCAAACCTAGATCTTGTCTAGTGAACAGAACCCTTATTAATTTTATTGTTTCAATAACGTGATATTTGTACTACATACATTTACGAGTCGTCTTGCAAGCAACGTAGCACAGAGGGACCTCATTGTTGTACCAATAAATGTTGCAACGATTGATGTCGTCTCTTCTTTTTCCATTCACGAGGTTAGACTTTGGGTAAAGATACGTTGAATTGAATGACATCTACCAAATGCAATTAACCATGCAAACGCGTAAACCATGTAAGTACGAAGTTGTAAATTATTGTAACGAAGAAAGTTCTCTCAATAGGCGCCGAGTTTTCAAAATATCATGTTGATCGCACAGTATCATGGCAGGCATGTATCAAAAGATCATATGAATATTTCGATTAAGAAATCATTAATGATGTGAGAATGTGAGGGCGAAATTCCACACACTAAACCATGCAAGGATTTATAAGAGATTGAATTAATCAACATCTTGTTAATTGGTTTTATAGTAGAGTTTCAACTTCTTTAATCTATCAAAGCAGATTATCCCACGTTAGAAGCCAACGGTTACACGTGCTTCCCATCACTCACAATAATGGAAAGAATGATCTTGCATGAACTTATAAGTGAGTTGGGCCACTTCCAATTGCCAATTAAATGGAAACCTAACTTTTTTTCATGTCACTCACTTTAACGATTACGCTGGCCTTTACAACTACTACACCAAAAATACAGCCAAATGTGGGGAGAGAGAGAGAGTTAGAGTTAAAAACCATGTGGTTGCTACCTCACATGAAAGTGACTAGTTCCATTGAAAATGGCCTAGGGTTTAGTTTTCTGAAGCATTCCCAACAGAAATGGAGGTGCTAAGCTTGATTATTAAATACATCATTTATGTGTCTTTTAAAGCGATAAACTTATCATTATTAGGGTTTATTTTTGGCCATACATGTTTGATGTGCAGTGTTGTATAAGTGCTTTTGCCTGAGCTTCATCTGTGAGATATGTTAATTTGGGTTTATACCGCGGCATCCTTCATATGTTGGGAGATTTGGAAATCTAGATGTAATTGTATTTTTCATGGTTCAGTTCCTTCTCCGGAGTATACGGCCGAGAAAGCTTCTTGGGCTGCGGCGGAGTTTTTCAAGGTAAATGGATCTCAAGAGGGTTCCAGTACTCCTTTTTCGAATTTGGTTGTCTCTCATCCCCATTTTTGGGAGCCCCCCCTATTGGAGTTATCAAGGCAAATTTTGATGGTGCTTGGTCAAGCAATACTCTTCAGTCTGGATTGGGAGTTGTCTTCCGCTCATCCAACGGGTCTATTATTAATGGAGTTTCCACCCCTTGCCTATCTTCATCCGCTCTTCAAACTGAGGCCAAGGCAGCTCTTCTTGCCGTCCGTTCAGCAAAGGATAGCAACTTTAGCGATGTGGTTTTTGAATCCGACTCGTTGGAGCTTAACAGAAGCTTAAAAATGATTTCAAGAAAGCCAATTGGACCATTTTTCCCTTGCTCATCCAAATTCGAAACCTATCTTCTCAGTTTCGCTCGCTCAACTGGCGGTGGGTTCCTCGTCAAGCGAATAGTGCAGCCTATTGGGTTGCATCGCATTGTAAAAGAGGGATGTGTTCTGATGTTTAGGTCATACGACCCCCATCCTCTCTAGTTCATATTTTGTCCAAAGATGGTCTCCCCTGCCCTCCTTAATTCTCCTGGAGTTGAGACTGTGGAGACGTACAGATTGGACCTTAGCCCCGCTTTTAGGTCGTGCTCTGTTTCCTCCTAGTCTTAACTCTAGGGTGAGTCCTTGTTGACTCTATCTCTTTTTTATGCTGTTCGGTTCCTGTTGTTTTTTTCCTTTCCTTGTATTGCGGCTTGGCTGCTGGGCTTTGCCCTTATGAATGGTTCATCTTTGTCCAAAAAATACAGAAGATTTGGACAGTTATCGTTATCAATTAATCCTCACATATCTCTACTAATCTCTACTAATTAATGAAATCCTTTTTGTCAACCAAAAGATGATGAAAAGACAACTTAGTCTTCTATCAAACAAAAAGATGGGCAATAATGTAATTTCACAGATCTAAAACGATATTGGATCACCCAAAGATATTATTTGATCTCAATCCTTTTATGTAACTGTCATAGACCAACAAATCTGGCAGCTTATTATTTTCACAACATTAATTAGTCTGTGGATCAATGCTGAAAAATGTCCCAAAATTCTACTGGAAAAAATTAAAATAAAATCAAACTAATTAACCTATCTAAATGTATAAAAACGCTAAGTGACCAACCTTTTATATCTTAATTATAATGCTAATGCTACAGCAGAAGAACAAGCTTTTTCCTAATTGTGAACAAATGATATTATCTACATTAACGAGAGGGAGATGAGCTTCCTCCTAATTAAAACCGTTAAAATGTGAAACAATCAAACCAAAATGCACAGGGTAAACAAATTAAAGGGAGTACCATATGTATAGAGTTATATGTATAGAGTTATGAATTGAAGATGTGAATTTAGTTACGAATCTCTTTAATCCTAACTTATTAAGTAGTAGAGTTGGCCTGAAACAACTTTTGTAGATTATCAAAGACGGGCCAGAAGTCCACTACCAACAACACTGATATTGTCCTTGTTGATGCACAAAATAAGTGGGGACTTTGGTACAACAGAAAGTGTTAAGTTTGTGACCTTCGCTTGATTGCTCCGGTCACTGGTGTGGATAAGTATGTAAATGGATAGAGACAGGCAAGCACACCCAAGATGTACGTGGTTCACCCAGATTGGCTACGTCCACAGAGTAGAGGAGTTCTCATTAATTGTGAAGGGTTTACACAAGTACATAGATTCAAGTTCTCCTTTAGTGAGTACTAGTGAATGATTTAGTACAAATGACATTAGAAAATATTGTGAGAGAATGATCTTTATTTATAGAAGAGAGTTTCTAGTTTCATTCTGACATTGACACGTGTCGTGTTATGATTGGCTTTTGATGTTAACACGTGTCGCGCTATGATTGGCTTCTGATGTTGACACGTGTCGCGCTGTGATTGGCCTCCTGGTTAGAGGGAAACTCTTCTGGGTCCTTGACGGTATAATGTTGACCGATGCTCAGTAGTTTCGGGATTGGTCAAGTATGGTACAAATAGTGCTCTCCTAAGTTCCCGAGTGAAGGAAGCTCCTCGGTTGGGGACTTGCAAGATCCAAGCCATTGAGTAATCACGAAACTTCTAAGTACCGAAGTGTGGTATCATTTTCACTTGCCTTATCTGTCTCATACGTAGATGTGGCATCTTCTCTGGAAGTACTTTTCCTTCATCCAGGGGTGGTATTTTTAACCGATGAAGATGCACAAGGTAATGTATCAATTTCACTTGAAGCTTACTTGTAGTTTCGGGCTTGGTTAAGTGCAATACAAACCCTATAGTAGGAGTCCCCCAAGTTGCCGAGCTAGGAGATTTGCCGAATGAGGTAACAGACAAGGTAAGCAATCAAACTTCCAAGCAAGCAACTTGGATCGGAGGTTCGACTTCGGCTTCCAGTTGATTGTTCTCCTTCTCCATGTGTCGTAAATAGCACCAAGGATAAGGAGAAGCAAATGGAGAAAAGATGATATGAGATACTTTTGCTTTTGAAGAAGTAACTTTCCACAGGCTTATTCTTGAACTGGGCTGGAAGGTTTTCTGGTTTCCTCCAGAGTATAAGGCCGATTCAAGAATTTGAGGGTCAAAACAATTCCATCAAATCTAGAGTACGTTCGACCCTGATGATATCAGATACTTTTGTTGTTGACAAAGTAGTGGATGTATCGGCACGTGTTCTGTTACGCTTGTCTCCATATGTTTCCTTGTATCATTCTCACTTGCCCTATCTGTTCCTCAGGCAGATGTAGTATCTTCTCTAAAATTATAAGATGTTGAAGATGAGTACTCGAGAGCAATGTCAGGTAAGTAATCAGGCAAGGGGTTATAGGCACTCAATTCTTGACTCGAAGCTTGATTCCAAGTGCTGAATGATTGCTCTCTTTCTTCTTGTCTTGCAG